TTGAAGTTATATCCATCATTTTATCAAGGGTTGATCATTATTCTTCAAGGATTGCCCTAAATTCATCAAAACCCAAAAGTTGCTAAATTAGGGTTTCTCAGGAAAAGTCAACCAAACTTTGACCAAGCATAACTTCCACATACTTTGTCAAACATTTTCCATCCAAGGCTCATTTTGAAGAGGATGAAATTCCCTACAATTCATCTTCATCTCACAATTTCAAAATATGCACTCATAAAAAGATATGAATTTCTACATTATGGGTCCTTTTGAAAAGTCAACAAAAACACCTTTTGGGTAAAAGATCCTTACATGAACATGGAAGACCCAATTGAAATGAGACCAAAAGGGTTGCTTACGGGACATCCTAAGATTTCTAAAAAGTCCAAGAACACCCCTCTAGGGTTAAAATTGGAGGAGATATGCCTTGTCAAAGTTGGCCTTTTTTGCAAAATTGCCAAAAGTCAAATGTGCTCAAAAATGCATTTTTTTTGCCAAATGGTCCTAACCTTTTATGCTTGCACCTCACTTATAATATGGTCCACGACCCAATTATCCATCCACGTGTTATTTGATTCATTTTCCATTTTATTATGATTTTTTATTAAATAAAATTTCAATTAAATCAAATAATTGGTAAATAATAGCAAAGATATGTTTTGATTTGATTTTTTGACAGGTTTGCAATCAAAGTATCTTGAAATATCAAGAACAAATTGAATTAAGCATGATTGGTACAAGAAAGGGATGATTTGGCTCAATATAGCAAGTTTACATATGGCATGGAAATCAAATCAAATCTTCCATAATTGCAAAGACACAAGCCAATTTTATAACCTTAATTCGTGTATATTTTTTATGTTTGAAGCACGCAGGTTTTAGCGACGGACATGGTCTGTAGGTATAGGTTATATACTTAAGACGACGGGCTGGAGGTAGAAGAAGGTGATTTGTTATCACCCTATTGGCTTATTTGAATACAGCGCAGACAATTTTGTTTCAGCTTCATTGAAATTGTTTTATATATTTTGTATTACTCTTATTCCATTAACAACTAATCAACGTAGCCCAGCTGGAAAAGGCGTCTCTTGGTAAGTGAGGGGACCTTGGTTTGATCCCAGGTCCCAACAAATTTCTTTATTTTCTCACTTTCCACTTGCAGATCCAATGCTTCACCATTCCACGCGTGTACCTTGCACCTTTACATCCAACCACTTGATCAACATAGTATCAGATCCAACGCACTCCAAATGAGAGACCACGATGCACCCTTAAGTCAACACTCCATGGGATCAGGCACGTTGACTGGGCTCAGTATTATTGGGCCAAGGAAATTCAACAATATACCTCATCTTTCAGCAATTCAACACAGACCCATTTTTAATTCTTTCTTTTTTATTTCTTTTACTTTAATTAATTTGTTTAATTATTTTTCACCAAAAATTAATTGCTTTTTTTTATCAATCATAAAATCAACAAATCACAAAAATTACAAAAAAATCATTTTTCTCATGAAATGTTTATTTCTTTAATTAATTTAATTAGAAACTAGGTTAATTTAATTATTTTTTTATAAATAAAACTAATTAGAAATTAGGTTTTAAATTTGTAATTAAATTGTTTTTTCTCAAATAAAAACCACAAAAAACATATAAAATCTTTTTTTTATAAAATCTTTTATTTTCTTGAATTATTTAGTTTAGTTTAAATTAGGTTAATTTCAATTTCTTTTTATAATTATAAATAATTAGAATTAGGGTTTTAGTTGTACATAACCTAATTAAGTCTTTTCTCAAGAATAACCCAAATATTTTCATCAATTAGATATTTAGGGTTTTCAATTTTTCTCGCATTTAATTTGCCGCGCACATTTTAATTCTTTTTATTATTATTTTAACTGCTCTGGGATTGTAATAGTAATTAGGGTTTAAAACTTCCGCATTTTTTATTTCCAGTCAAGATGATTATGTAACTGCCAAAGCCCTGTAATAGTTAGGACCTTTAAATTTTCGCACTTTTAATTTCCGCAAACTATAAACTGCTTAGATGTATGTTAATAGGATTGTATGGGAAGATTACTTGAAATTAAAACGGTAGATCACCTAATGTGCAAAGACTAATTAACTGGAAAAATTCACATGCACATATTCACTCCAAGGGTTTGCCTCACTTCGGTTGCCTTCGGTAAACAATCATTAAGCATAGGAGATTTTAGTGGTTGCCCTCCAGTCTAAAAGATCAAAATGTCCCATTTGAATATTGCCTCGGAAATGTTGCCTCGGAAATGTTGCCTTAGAAAGATCTTAAGACTCAAGGGTTACTACTAAAATTTCCAACCCATTGCTTTGGTGATTCTACTTGTCCCTTTCGAATGTCCCTTGAAACTTCAACGACGGTGCTACCTATTCCTTAATAATAGGATAGCATTGTCTAAAGGAAAATGAACGAACTTTTTTCGAGTAGGTAGATAGTTCCTAGGTACTTGCTCAAACAAACAAATTTCACACAAAAACTTTTCAAAACAATTTTCAAAAACAACTTCATCAAACTCTTGAGGACAGTAACAAGGGTTATCAAGAAGTAAAACAAAACTTTTCAAAACAAGCACACACAAGAAATTTGAAAAATGAGCAAGTACCTAAGAGCCCATAGAAAACCATGGATAGAAAGGGTGATAACACCTCCCTTTTCTATAATCTACCTCCCGTACTCAGAATATCTCGAAAAAAGGTTTTTCTGTTCTTTTTCCTTTTCCATGATTGGATGAAATAAAAGTCGGTGGCGACTCTTGCTTACCGCGACATTTTGCAAACAAAAAGCGCAAAACGCAAACCAGTATAACAGTCGGTTCTGCCACCGTATCACAATCCCATAGACAAATTCGTATATTATCCTTTTCAAGTGGAAGACTTGATAAAGAAGAAACTGGAACTCGTTCATCGTGAAAAGATTTATTATCTTTTTCTACCTTCAGTAAAAGTTGGTAGCTCGCCTTCAGTAAACGTTGGTGACATTCTTTTATTTCTCTACCTTCAGTAAAAGTCAGTAGCTCACATTCAGTAAACATCAATGTCATTCTTTTGTTTCTCTACCTTCAATAAAAGTCGGTAGTTCAACTTTGGTAAAAGTCGATGCATTCTTTTGTTTCTCTACCTTCAGTAAAAGTCAGTAGTTCACCATCAGTAAATGTTGGTGTGTCTTTTATTTCTTTACCATCAATAAAAGTTGGTATTGTTCTACCTTCAACTATTGAGTTGGTAGTTTACCGTCATCTGTGAGTCAGTATCTTATTGATCTTCTACCTTCAACTATTGAGTTGGTAGTTTATCGTCATATGTGAGTCGGTATCTTATTGATATTATACCTTCAACGATTGAGTTGGTAGCTTATCGTCATCTGTGAGTCGGTATCTTTTTGATCCTACCTTCGACCATTGAGTTGGTAGTTTACCGTCATCTGTGAGTCGGTATCTTTTTGATTTTCTACCTTTGACATTGAGTTGGAAATTTACCATCATCTTGAGTCAGCAGCCATTTATCTCTTCACAGCCTATGCAAGGCGTTTTCCCTGATAAAGTCAGTATTTTTTTCTTCTCTCGAAGTTGTTCCCCAATAAGAGTCTCCCATTAGAAGTTTGTGGCTCTGTTCCCCAGTGGAGTTATAACCTCTTCCCTTGTGGGAGTATTTATCACCTGCTTGGTTTCTCCAGCAGTAGCTTGTCTCATATGGCATCATTCCCTATAAAATTCAGGGAATCGCATTCATATCATATCACAAACATCATTGTGGTATCTTAGGACCAAAATTGTGTATTTTATATTTAAGTATCTTCAATCTCGTCGAAACGAAGATTTCAATCTTCATATCTCCGAATAGAAGAAACTTAAATAGGAGCAGTTGTCATACCAAATTTTTTGACCTAAGATCCCACCTTCATTTGCATCTTCATAAAGGCATCAAGGTCACGAGATACAATTGGTTCTTAACCTGTTCAACTTCGAGCATTGCTTATGCAAAGATTATCAATTATTGTGAACCTTTTATCTTATGTGTCACTGACTTCTAATCCCATACAAAGGTGCATGTTTGTGTTTATTTGGTTTCATGTGCAGAGACAAGTCTGAATCAAGAGCGTCGGGTGTTGCGCCTCAATTAGGGTTTTGGATCCCTCAAGTGTTCAAGTATGGTGAATCACCAATTCTCAAAGACTATTTCATCAAAGTTTAGACTTTTATCAAAATAACAATCAAGATTTCATCATCACTGGCCCATATGTGCATCAATATGTCTGGGAATGCGAGGAAAGATCAAATTTTCAAGTCGATTCAAAGCACTTTGACCAAAAGTCAACATTTTCAAGATCAAGTTCAAACGATTGTAACTTCTTCATTATTCAATATTTTTAGTGGTTCTTTTTGCGTATGACTCTACTTGGAATCATCTCCAACTTCTCTTTACAAGTCAAGAGCTAATTATGTGTGGAGGATCATCAGAGTTCGAATACTTTAGAGGTTACTTAGTGATTTTTTTACTTAATCTCAAGTAAATGTCGCCCGACTTTCAAGGATCATAACTTCTTCTATTCTCAATATTTTAAGGCAATTCTTTTTACACATTGTCATAAGCGAAGTCACCTACAAGTTTTCTTCAAGGATCGAAGTCAAACTGAGCTTAGAAGGCGGTAATATTTATTGAAACATTATAGGTCATTTTTTTGATTTAGAATGTTCCTAATTCATGCCTTAATTGTTTTCTCAAAGGTGTTGATTCTTATGTTGTAATCGCTCATGACCCAGATGTTGAGTTTGAAATTCTTTGATTGATTGTCGCTCATTTCAAGTCACTTCAGTTTGAACATTGGTGATTATTGGATTAAAGTTAGATTTTTAACCAAAGTTTGCAAGGCATTATTATTCTTTCAAGCAAATTGGGCTTGTATGGCAAGTTACCATGAATTGAAGATTTTCCCACGAAATGTCATTAAATTCAAATTAATTCAAAGTTTCAAAGACATTCATCTTTATTCTAGCTTCAAGATACAAGTATCAGAATTCATTGTTCATTACAAAATCAAAGAGAATGCTTGGAATTTCAAAGTGCAAATCGGAAAAGCTTTGTTTCATCAATATTTTCAAGCTCATTACAAGATTCAAATACAAAGTGTTACATGAAATTTCTAAGTTTCTAAAGTCTAAGCCAAAATCCAACTTCTTGTTACCTTCATGCTACAATTATTCTTCGTGCCCTTATGTCTTGGAATATCACTCCATACTCAATTTGCATCCAACTTTTGCCTTGTACCAAAGCTGCCCAATTTCCAGCCCCTGCATAAATGGAAAAACTGTCAAATTCTGACCTTTCCTTGTCCACAATCCTTGCAGCCATAAAACAAACATAACACTCCAAAAAACCTACAATGCTGCCCTGCCAAACCTGCATAAAACAACCAAGCATAACAGTCCAAAACAAAGCCAAAACTGCTGATGCCCAGTCTGCTACTACTGTCCAAAGTTTGCACAAAACCAGCCAGAAATTGTAGCAAAATAGTCAAAAAAACTGTATTGAAAAGCTACAAAACAGCATGACCAAAGTGTTCAAATCCCATCCAATTCCCCCCCCCTAAATTTTATCATTCTTTCTCTATAAAATGGAGGCAGCATTCAACAGAAAAGGAGGATAGGGAGACCAAGAACCATCACCTGAAACATTGAAAAAGATACAGAAAAAAATAATGTAGAAAAACTCACAGAAAAATGACTTTTGAAACTAAACAAACCTTCTGCAACTTTCTTCATCAACCTATAATCTTCAAACCTCACGCATCACCATCGCAACAACTTTTGAACCCACTGCAAACCAAAGCCATACGATCTTCATCATTGTTTTTTTCCTCTTCATCTCGAACAACGATACAACACAGAAGCTCACAGAGAAAAATAAGAGAGAAAATTTGAAAGAAAAATAACCTTACTCCATTCATCAACCTTGGATGCCACTCTAATAACTTGCATCAGAACCTGTAACATTCAATAGAAAAAGTCTCTCAACACCAACATACATATGCACCTGTAATTCAAACACATGCATTATGACACCAATACATCAAACCTGTAAATTCAAGGCGCATATGTTCATCTACATCAATTTCCATACAACAACAACACAACTATTTTTTCGGAACTCTAGAAGGAGCAGGAGAAGAGGAAAAGGAATTAAGCTAAAGAAAATAGGAAGTTCAATTCACCGTGAAAAAGCTGAATAAACCATCGATAGAAGCATCGCCAGATTTATCATCGAAAATACCTCCTCTCCGATTGGGTTCTCTTGTTGTGTTCTCTCGGTTTTTTATTGTTTCATATCTGCATCTTGTTGTTAATTGGTTTTCCTTGCTCAATAATTGTTATAAATTGAGAATAATTTGGTTGTTATTGGAGTAGAAATTGAAAATAGGAGTTGAATGATTGTTATATTTTTGTTGTTTCCGCTGTGAATAGAAATGAGAAGTAGGGATAGCGGAGGATTCTGGTGGTAGTTTGATTGAGTTTAGCGAGAAAACGATGGAAATATAGCATGAAGTAGAAACTGTTGTTTTTTTTAACGAAAGAAAATTTACAGAGAAACAGGGAGCAATTTTGAAAATTTGAGGCATTGTATGATTTAGGGTTTACAACCCAAAGGTTTTTCAAGTGAGAGTTGGGTCTGGAGCCCATCCCAATGGAGTTTTTTTATTTCATTTAGTTTCTATGTTTTTTCCTGAGCCCTGCTATTTATTTGTTTTATAGTCCACCAATGAAAATTACCATCATACACCCATGTTTTATTAACCCAGCCCGTTTCTCTTAAGTTGCTTTTTTTATTTACTAATTGTTGTTTTTCTTTTCTGACTTTTATGTTATTTGAGCCTAGTACTCCAAAGTTCAATGAATTTCCCTTATCCTCTTAAGCCCATTCGAAATTGTTACTCTCATCCCCAATTTCCTATCTCACACCTTCTTTTATTAAATAATTTAGTTTAATTTTAAATTAATAATCTTAGAATAAATTAGTTTAAATGTAATTTAGAAATTTTATAATCAATTTAGTTTATATATAAAGTAGTTTAGATATAATTTAGTAATTTTTGAATTATAATTTAGTTTAGAAATAATTTAATAATCCATAAAAAATATTTATTTAGTTTATCTAATTAATCATAGATTTCTAATTAATTTAGTAATCTTTTAATCTTAGTTTAGTTTAGTATTATTTCAATTAGTATTGTTCATTATAACTCATTTCTTTTACATGTGATTCTTCTTTATTTCCTTGATTGAAATTTTCATTGTTTGTTTTTTCATTAATTGTTTTAATTTCTTGTGGATCTCCAAGTTCCTATATTTCGATTCTCATTCGATTATTATGCTTAAATTGTTAGTGACTCAACTCCAAGGGAAAGAATCTAATTTGTTGACTTTATATCATCGAATATATTTAATATGATTATGTGAAATCTCTTTCACGCATTTTAGTTTTATTAATCTTAAGATAAATTTCCTGAAAAACTCAATTTTTAAACATACACTCATTTAAGCTAAAACTTTGACACTAGGTCGTTGCATCTTTAAAATCTCACCCCCACACTCATTTAGCAAGAAAACCAATTTTAACCAAAAAACAGATATTTTTAAAAGGTTCCTATAGGATACTATAGATACATAAGATGCTAGTACCTTCGCTTTGTATAACCAACCCCCAAACCTTCGATCTTTTTCAAATTCATTGTATTTTTCTTTACTTTTAGTATTGCACTTACTTTGCATATTATGGGTTTTATAATCTTCAAACCTCACACATCACCATCCTAACAACTTTTGAACCCACTTCAAACCAAAGCCATATGATCTTCATCATTGCTTTTTTCCTCTTCATCTCGAACAATGATACAACACATAAGCTCACAGAGAAAAATAAGGAAGAATGTTTTAAATAAAACCAACCTTACTCCATTCATCAACCTTGGATGCCACACCATTAACTTGAACCAGAACCTATAACATTCAATAGCAAAATTCTCTCAACACCAACATACATATGAACCTGCAATTCAAACACAAGCATTACAACACCAATACATCGAACCTGCAAATTCAAAGCGCATATGTTCATCTACATCAATTTCCAGACAACAACAATATAACTATTTTTTTTCAGAACTCTAGAAGGAGCAGAAGAGGAGTAAAAGGAATTAAGCTGAAGTAAATAGGAAGTTTGATTCACCGTGAAAAAGCTTTATAAACCATCGACAGAAGCATCGCCAGATTTATCATCAAAAAGACCTCCTCTCCGATCTGGTTCGCTTGTTGTGTTCTCTCGCTTTTTATTTTTTTCGTATTTGCATCTTGTTGTTAATTGGTTTTCCTTGCTCAATTATTGTTATAAATTGAAAATAGTTTGGTTGTTATTGAAGTAGAAATTGAAACCAGGAGTTGAATGATTATTATATTTTTGTTGTATATGTTGTGAATAGAGATGAGAAGCAGGGATAGCGGAGGATTTTGGTGGTAGTTTGATTGAGTTTAGAGAGAAAACAATGGAAATATAGCGTGAAGTAGAAACCGTTATTTTTTTAGCGGAAGAAAATTTACAAAGAAATAAGGAGAAGTTATAAAAAATTTAGGCATTGTATGATTTATGGTTTACAACCCAAAGGTTTTTTAAGTTAGAGTTGGGTCTGGACCCGACCCGGTCTAGCCCAGTGGAGTTTTTATTTCCTTTAGTTTCTATATTTTTTCCTGGGCCCTGCTATTTATTTATTTTTTATATCCCACCTGTTGTACCCCAAAATTTACCCTCCCTTTCCTTTAAGATCTTCTTCTAGGGGTTTTCAATTGTTCAAAGCTTCTCAAGCCACCAGATATGTCAAAGGATTCATCAAGGGTTTAAGTTCGCAGATGTTCAAAATTTCTCCTATCCTGTAATTTTAATTCCAAATAATGACTTTAAGCCATGTGCCTTGCCCGGGGCACCACAGTCCATTTGTTAAGGGTTTGTTCATTTCCATATGCCATATGATCATTTAATGAAAAACATTGGACCTTTTGCATTCAAATTTTGCGCTCATTATCTTTATTTTTCTTACTTACATTTTCAAAATAGCCATGTATCTTACATTCACACACACACACACACTTGCAGATCCTCATCCACTCTGGATCTCATTACTAACAACTCTGCTATTGCCAGTTATGACTTTGAACATCCAATCTACCAAGCCGGAGGCGAAGGCGAAGAAGATTGTGAAATACCAGGGGAACTAGCCAGACTTCTGATGCAAGAGGAGAAGGTCATTCAACCTAATGAAGAGTCAATTGAAGTGATCAACCTAGGTACTGAGGAAGAAAAGAAAGAGGTCAAGATCGACACTAACTTAGAAGACAATATCAAAGGCAGATTGGTCCAGATGTTACACGACTATGTTGAAGTGTTTGCTTGGTTATATGAAGATATGCCAAGGTTGGATGTTGACATTATGGTTAATCGTCTACCAACAAAGGAAGATTGTCCTTCAGTCAAGCAAAAAGTGCATTGTATGCGGCGAGACATGTCTGAAAAGATAAAAGTTGAGGTAATGAAGCAATTCAATGCAGGTTTCCTGGTTGTGGCATCATATCCTCAATGGGTTGCAAACGTGGTCCTCGTGTCAAAGAAAGATGGGAAGGTTCATATGTGTGTAGACTATAGATATTTGAATAGGGCAAGCCACAAAGATGATTTCCCACTACCTCACATTGACGTCCTAGTCGATAACACAGCTCAACACAAAGTTTTCTCCTTCATGGATGGTTTCTCCGACTACAATCAAATTAAGATGGCTCCCGAGGATATGGAGAAGACCACCTTTGTCACACAATGAGGCACATTTTGTTATAAGGTCATGCCGTTCGGTTTATAGAATGCAGGAGCAACTTATCAATGAGCTATGGTAGCCTTATTTCATGATATGATCCATCATGAAATAGAAGTCTATGTAGATGATATGATTGCAAGGTCGCAGACTAAAGAAAAACACCTCAATCACTTACACAAGTTGTTTGAAAGGATGAAAGAATATAAGTTGAGGCTGAATCCCAGAAAATGTACCTTTGGGTAAGGTCTGGAAAACTCCTAGGATTTTTCGTCAGTGGCAAAGGTATTGAGGTCGATCATGCGAAGGTCAAAACTATCCAAGAAATGCCAGCTCCCCATACTGAGAAGTAGGTCATTGGTTTCTTAGGTCGACTCAATTACATTGCCAAATTCATATCTCACTTAACTGCTACTTGTGATCCACTCTTTGAGCTGCTGAAGAAGGATCAAGCAATTAGATAGAATGACGA